ATGTCAGTTTGTATGTCTGTATGTCAGTTTGTATGTATGTCTGTTTGTCAGTATGTATTTATGTCTGTATGTATGTGAGTATGTATGTACGTTAGTGTGTGTGTCTGTATGTCAGTATTTGTGTGTGTGTGTGTGTGTGTGTATATCTGTATCTGTGTATGTGTCTATATGTCTGAATGTCTGTTTCAGTATTTGTGTCTGTTAGTATGTTTGTATCTTTCTGTGTGTGTGTCTGGGTCCTTTTGTGTCTGTGTGTGTGTGTATTCCTGTGGGCGGGATTTGGAGGCGGGCACCCGGGGGCCCAGACCTTGAGCTGGGTTAGGGGACCCACAATTTCTGATGGCGGCCCTGTACACACTTATGACATTACAGCCCTCTGTAACAAATCACAAGTTAGTATTGGATATACTATATTGGTTGTCTCTTGTGGTTGGTTTTTGCTCTGCTGTGGTTTGTGTGTACCAGAGCGCACATTATAGTCTAGTAATTTACTGGTTATCGACCTTGGCTTGTCGGAGTATTCTTGCTCTCTGTAATTCTGACCTTGGCTTGTATCTTTGAAACCTTTGACTTCAGCCTTTTTCTGGTCTTCTCTTTGACTACTTAACAAATCAGCAATAAACTTACCTGAATCCAGCAATGGATGAAGCATGCCATGCTGATTCCTTACCCTGTGCAACATCAGTCCTTACCACCCCGTGGTTCAATCAAATTCTTCTCGCAGAAGTGGTTATTATCTCTGATGTTTTTCCTTCAAGAGTTCCTTTGGAACTCCCTTCCCTTCTCCATTATATTTTCACCCAGTCTCCATTCTTTAAAAAAAAAAAAAAAATTAAAAACTGACTTCTTAGCGGGTAGGGCCTGGCAGCCGACCGAGACAGCGGCATGGTGCTTGAGCTCCTCGGGAAAAATCGAATTATTGAGGCCAAGATTAGACCTTATTGTTTTGTTATTGACAACAAGCCCATTATTAACCTTGGGGACCACTCTGCTGCTTAAATGGCTCAATCTTGTCTGCAACTAGCAGTCTCAGCTCATGCAAGGCTTCTCTGCGGCCTATGGAGGCACTCAACGTTGGGGAGGCGGCCAATCCTCGACCTTGCTTTGAAGTCTGTGGACACTGTGCCCTTTCCCCCCCCCCCTTTGGACCGGTGGGGGTTATCCCGATCCCCACTGGTGATTTGGATGAGGCGCCTTCCCAAAAACCATCTACCCACCGGCTATTTGGAGAGTCAAGGCCTACCTATAAAAATGGCAACCCTGCAAGTGTCTGCAGCCACGCACGCAGAGCTGCTGCTCCAGGCATTTGACAGAGTCTGCGCAGCCTTCTGGTCAAGGCTCTATGATCGTGAGCTTACTTGTAATCCGGATGACCCGGTAGCGGCCCCCCAGAGCCATCCAAGGAACTGTTGCAACATGTACAAACATCGCCCACGTGTTTCCAGAGAGGCACGGTGGAAGAGACAGTGCAAGAGGTGACCGCAGCGAACGGCTGTATCCCATCGATCAGACAAGCATCCTCGCTACCACTCACCCAGAGAGCAGCAGCACAAATCTCCTCACCCCCAGTGTGGCCAGCATGGTCCAGAGGTAGCTGAAGCTAAATGGCGAGCCTGCAGGACTGGGACACCGTGGATTCTGGCCAGAGATTTGTTGACCTCAAATACCGACATGGAATTTAGGCTTAGTGGGGGGGCCTCACTGAGTTAGCTGATGGCGGTAAAGGTTGGGACACTCCATTAATCGGCATAGGCTAAGAGTCTCTTGAGCCTTGCCTGCAGATAGGATGCATCATTGCTATGATCATCACAATATAGTTCATGGCTATTGATGTTTTTCTCTATTCCTGTGCTTTTGCCCACTTATCCCCTTAATGACGGGTGACGGACGGGGTCCTTCATTATGGGGAGACCCTTAACGACGGGTGACGGACCCCATCCATCATGGGTTAAAATTAACCCCAGATCGCGGGGTTAACAATACTCCGGTCTGCCTCCGGTTTGCCTCTGCAGCAGTGCTGTCAGAGCGAGCACCTGTGCTGCAGGGACTCACGATCCGCCTCCCAGCGCTTCCGGGTTCAGTGTGAAGTGCAGGGAGATGGATCATCAGTAATCTGCTTCCCTGTGTAAAAAAAATAAAGTTTAATTAAAATCCCACCCCCCTTTACCCATTTTAAATAAAAATTAACCTCTTCCCTGCCAATTGATCACTGACTTCAGTGATCAATTGGCAGGGTATACATTTTACTGTGATCTGATTTTATTATTAACCACTGAGGGTCAACTTTTATTTTTTGTAACCCTCAGGGGGTAATTTTATTTTATTAATTAATTTAAAAAATCTTAAAATGGTTTATTTAGCAAGCTGGGGTGGGTGGAAGTTAGTGGGGAATTGGGGAATTTGGTGTTAGGCTAGCTAGGGGTTAACGTTAAAAAAAAGGTTTTTAAAAAAGTTTTAGAAAGTAAAAAATGTTTTAATAAAAAATTTTTAAAATGTAAAAAAAAGCCCACCCTCCTTTACCCAGTCCTAATAAAAATTAACCCCTTCCCTGCCAGTTGATCACTACCTACAGTGATGAAAATACAGATCACAGTATTATACTGTGATCCGATTTTTTTTTAACCCCTTAGGGTTAACTTTCTTTTTTAACCCTCAGAGGTTCAATTTATTTAATTTATTAATTTAAATATTTTAAAATGATATATTTTGCTAGCTGGGGTGGGAGTTATGGGAATTTACTGTTAGTACTGCTTACTGCTAGTTAGGGGTTAATGGTAAAAAAAACTTAGAAAAATGTTAAATCTGTAAAAAAAAAAGTTTTAAAAGAAAGTTTAGGAAAGTTTAAAAATATGAATAAGCAAAAAAATAGTTTAAAAAATAGTTTTAAAAAGTAAAAAAAGTTTTAAAAAGTAAAAAAATAAATGTAAAAATGCTTATTACCACTACACCTGGAACAAACTAGAGAAAAAATGATCCCCCGCTAAGGTTCAAAATATGCCTTTTGAATTACCCCGGGGTATATTCTTTAATAAATGTGTTTGTGGGGAAGTTTCAATAACCAACCATCTAAACTACTCCAAAATGGAACATGGACACAGCGTAAAACTTCAAAGTTAGAAAAAAAACTGAATGGCTGTGTCTCAAATGTGCCCCTTCAACATCCACATATACCTGGCAAAGGTACATACGGGAGTATTGCTGTACTCAGACGACATAGCCGAGCAACATATGTAGTATTATACAGTCATAGCACACATAAGGTTTGCAAAATATACTGTGCAAACTCACTTTGTGTGTCAAAAAGGCAGAAAAAACGCGTTACCACTACACTACAAGCAAGCGGAAAAATTATCCCACGCTAGGGTTCAAAATTAGCCTTTTGAAATACCCTGGATGTCTTCTTTAAGAAATGGTATGGCTTTATGGGGTATTTGGATTAAATAGCCTGGTAAAATACTCTAAAATGGGATATGGCTACTGCGTAAAAATGTAAAGTTTGAAAAAAACTGGAATGGCTGTGTCCCAAATGTGCCCTTCCGATGTCCCCATATACCTGACAAAGGTACATACGGGGGTATTGCTGTACTCAGCCGACATAGCTGAGCAACATATGAAGTATTATAAAGTCGTAGCACACGTACAATTTGCAAAATATACTGTGTCAAAAAGGCAGAAAAAACGCTTATTACCACTACATTTGGTACAAGCTAGCGGAAAAAGTATCCCACGCTAAGGTTCAAAATATGCCTTTTAAAATACCCTGGGATGTCTTCTTTAAGAAATGGTATGCCTTTATGGTGTAGTTGTAATATGTAGCCTGCTCAAGTGCTCCAAAGTGGGACATGGACGCATCAAAATCCTCCATGAAAATTCACACTTAAAAACCTGAACTTGTCATTAGTTCGCCGCGGACTCATCATTGAGTAAACTTTGACCCTGTACCTCACAGTCAGCAGACACATTCCAGCCAATCAGCAGCAGACCCTCCCACCTCCTGGACAGCTCACTAAGAATGCAGCTTCACAATGGATGTTTGTTTTCCTGGCACTATAGTGGTTCTTTAACTTTGCTTACCACTAGAACTATGTTCCTTCTGTTTCACTCATTTTCTAACTTAAAAAGTGATGTACTATTGACATTTCATAAATGGATTGCATTGCTCTCTTGACATTTACAATATTATGAATTGTTTGCACATTCTTGATTGTTATCCTGTGCACTACAAAAATAAAGAGGTAAAAAAAAAACTCACTTCTTCAGGAAAGCATATCAGTTAAACTTTGATTCCTCTCCTGCAACTGTAATAAAAATAAATAAATAAATAAATAATAAAAAAAACACTAATCCCTCAATGAGTACTATTCTAACTTTTGTGTTACTCTAACCCACTCCCTCTAGCATGTAAGCTCACTGAGCAGGGCTCTCCACCCCCTATGTTCCTGTGTGTCCAACTTGTCTGGTTACAAATACGTGTCTGTTAGTCCACCCATTGTACAGCACTGTGGAATTTGCTGGCGCTTTTTAAATAATAATAATAATAATTGGAGTAATCTTTTAGCTTCCAACAACCATAGCCAGAATATCCCCAACCATGAGAGGAGTTGTAGTACAGCAATGTACAGGCAAATTCTTGCGTCAAATTACAATGGATGTAAATTCTCAAAAGAATGCCTAGTGATTTTCCTCTAATGTTGGTACTTTGAAAGGACAAATGTAAAAACAGAACCGATTTAAGTTTTTTCTTTATCAGTAAGTTAGAGAGTTAAATTGCCTGAGAGCCAGGAAGTGGGAGCTTTGACACTGTGCGTGTAACTCACAAAATAAAATAATAGCTGCAGACAATCCGCCTCCATCCTCCCGCCATGCTGCTCATTCTCATCTGCAACACGGAGCCCCGGCCAGCCGGACAGGAACAGCATCGCCCGCAGTTGTAGCCTTGAAGAATCCCATCCTTTTTGAACACCATGTTTCTTGTTTGTACGTCGCCTGCCTGTCTCAAAATGTTTCTTTATAACATCACCCTTCAGAGAGCTACTGACATCATCTTTGCCATCCATGGAAACTCAGGAACCAAGTTGCAGGAGATTGTGGTTTCCCTGGGTAAGATTATGGAGTTACTCTGTCCAGATGCTAATACTGGCAAGGTGCACACTCTCCTGACGGTGGAGGTTTTCAGGATTATTCGCTCACTCATGGCGTTTCGTCTGACCGGAGAAACCAAGGATTATATCGTGGTGGGCAGCGACTCCGGGCGTATCATTATTTTGGAATATCACCCCTCTAAGAATATGTTTGAAAAGATCCATCAGTAGACCTTTGGAAAAGTGGATGCCGTAGGATTGTACCAGGTCAATTCCTGGCTGTAGACCCTAAAAGCTGTGATGATCAGTGCTATTCAGAAGCAGAAGTTGGTCCACATTGTGAATCGAGATGCTGTGGCCTGGCTGACCATCTCCTCTCCACTGGAAGCCCACAAGGATAATACCTTGGTGTATCACATGGTGGGTGTGGACGTGAGCTTTGAAAATCCGATGTTCGCTTGTCTGGAGATGGATTATGAGAATGCTGACAATGACCCCACAGGGGAAGCAGCCGCCAACATGCAGCAAACACTAACTTTTTATGAGCTGGATCTTGGGCTGAAACAAGTGGTGCGCAAATACAGCGAGCCACTGGAGGAGCATGGGAATTTCCTGATCACAGTTCCTGGCGGTTCTGTCAGTCCTGAAAGTAACAACCTGATCATTATAGAGACCTATCATAATGTGTACACAGAGGCCACCAAGGCCCAACGCAAGCATCAGATGGCAGAGGAAATGGTGGAAGCGGCAGGAGAATATGAGAGAGAGCTTGCCGCAGAGATGGCTGCAGCATTCCTGAATGAGAACCTGCCAGAGTCCAGCTTTGGTGCCCCCAAGGCTGGAAATGGCCAGTGGGCATCGATTATCTGTGTCATGAACCCCATCCAAGGAAACATTTTGGACCTGGTGCAGCTTGAGCAGAACGGAGCTGCCTTCAGTGTGGCTGTCTGTCGCTTCAGTAACACCGGGGATGACTGGTATGTTCTGGTGGGTGTGGCCAAGGACCTTATCCTGAATCCATGCTCTGTTACTCGCGGGTTGGTTTACACCTATAAACTAATAAACAATGGAGAAAAGCTGGAGTCTGTGCACAAGATATCGGTTGAGGAGGTTCCCGCTGCGATCGCTCCATTCCAGGGGTGAGTCCTGATCGGGGTAGGAAAGTTACTGCTCATTTATGACCTGGAGAAGAAGAAAACGGCGGAGAAAATTTGAAAATAAGCACATTGCTAACTTTATTGTTGTTATCCAGATCATTAAGCAGCGGGTAATTGTGTCTGACATACAGGAGAGCTTTATATGGGTGTGTTACAAATGCAATAAAAACCAGCTGATCATTTTTGCAGATGATACCTACCCTCGCTGGGTCACTACTTCCTGCCTTTTGTACTATGACACAGTAGCTGAGAAGTTTGGAAATATCTGCGTGGTATGATTACCTCAGAATATAAATGATGATGTTGATGAAGATTCCACTGGTAATAAAGCCTTGTGGGACAGAGGTCTTCTCAATGATGCTTCCCAGAAGGCGGAGGTGATCAGGAATTACCATGTGGGAGAGACTGTGCTGTCCCTACAGAAGACTTCACTTATTCCTGGCGGCTCTGAATCGCTGGTCTACACTACTTTATCACGAGGGATTGGAATCCTTGTTCCCTTCACATCACATGAGGATCACAACTTCTTTTTACATGTCGAGATGTACCTGCGCTATGAGCACCCCCGATCTGTGGTCGAGACCACCTTAGTTTCCGCTCTTATTACTTCCCAGTCAAGAATGTTATAGACGGAGATCTGTGTGAACAGTTCAATTCAATGGAGCCAATAAAGCAGAAAAGTGTTGCAGAGGAGCTAGACAGGACGCCCCTGGAGGTCTCCAAGAAGCTGGAAGACATTTGCACACGCTATGCCTTCTAACCAGGGTCAATGACCTACATATTGCTTGAAGATCTGTGTTTGCTCTGATGCCCAGCCATGGTTGTAGAGCCATTGATTTGATGATGTGGATAATGGGCGCACTTATAAATCCAGTGTGGATGTACGGATGGTAATAGGCCAGAGGTCACAACCTGGAGAAGACTGGTTTCCCTTGTGACGTTGGACGCATTCTGTCTCTTGCTCTGCTCTTGGTGAGCAGCTTTTGGTTAACCCCTTAAGGACACATGACGGAAATATTCCGTCATGATTCCCTTTTATTCCGTACGTTGTGTCCTTAAGGGGCTAAACAAATCATTTTTATTTGCCCACCCTTTCAGGCTATAAATATAGTTTTGTATAATGTTTTGTTTTAAGCATTGAACCTGTCTGAATAGACTTTGCAGGTGGATAATATTGTCTGAATCTGATGACTGAGTAAGAATAAATATATATATAATTTTTTTTATATAAAAAAATAATAATAATATATAGACTGTAACATCTTGAAGAAAAAAAAGGCTGTAAAAGGAGAACTTTGCACTGTAACCTTTCAGTAAGTTTATATGATTAAGGTTCTTAAAGTGACCCTTAAAAAAAATAATTTCTTAATATCATGTTGCAATGAAATCAAAGCAACATATTTCAGTCTGTATATAGATGTATGGACTGAAGAATGCTACAAAATGTTCTGAGCTCTTTTTCATAGGGGATAAAGAATAATAATTTGGAATCACAGGTAGTCTGAAATCTGAGAAAAAAATGTCTCCTTCAACACAATAGAAGGTAACTTGTTGGACACAAGATCCATTGAGTGCAGCTTCTGTTAATAATAGGTACAGTCAGTTTCATTTCTTGAGAAGAGAAACTTTACATGCTGGATAAGCAATAGTGTCTCCAAGGCAGCAGCTGGGCTTAGTCTAAACTGATTAGTTTACACAATACTAACAAAAATGCTTGTTACATTCCTGTGGGCAGAAAATGCAAAGAATTAACAATTGTGAAAAATAACCTTTAGCCTATGATATGTAACTTTATGTCAGTCAATAGGATGGGCAGATTTGACTTAAATGAACAGTCCAATGTAAAAATAAATATATTTGTCTTAACATTTACTTTTTATTTTAGATTTAGGCAGGGGTGGTACAAGGATGTTTGGCTACACGGGCAAAGCTGCATTCTGGCATGCTCTTTCCCCTCCCTCCCCCTGCCTTCGAAGGATACCTACACTCAATTTACATAGAAGCACAACATCAAAACACAATGATTACAGTTATTGCACAGTGCTGGTGAGGGAGGTCTTTGATTTCTCCACCAGTTCATAAAGGCACTCCACTGCATATGAGCATATTTTGAGCACCCCCGTCCCCCTGGCTTTGGCATCTTAAGACAGCTATCTGTGCGCCTTAATGTAGTGTCCTTCCTGGATAAAGGGCCCTTTCATTTTTAATTCAAAAATAAAATAAACTCACCTCAAATCCAGCACTAAGACCCTCCTTATGTCACAACTCCAATCACCCCCAAAAGATGATCAGTTTAATATTGATGTTTTCCAGGCCAATCCAATGCTTCTCATACAGATGTCATTGGGAGGTACTGCGCATGCACAGCAATTACTACGATCCACCAATAGAATGCTTTTTTAATAAGAGGCACTCACTACCTCTTTGAATGGTCATTCAAAGCAAATGAGCAGGAAACCTTCCCAACTGCCTAGTTCTAGCAGCATTTATACAAGGGCAGATTTTCTTTTTCTTTTTTTTTACATCATTACTTTTAAGAATTAGGACAAATGGGATCTTAAGTTAACCCCTAAAATCCTTCAGCCTGCTTCAATGGAATGACTGGAATGTTCCTTTAACTGAAAATAAATCTAATGCAATTCCATTTTTCAAACAAACATTAATGATTTTTTGCAGAAAACAATGCTTGTCGAACACTTATTTGTTTTGCCTTTTATACATTTTAACATTTTGTTCATTTTTGCCAAACACCAAAAACTGGAAAAGAGAAATAATTAAATAGAAGCCATTTAACATATAACCATTACAAAATAGCATCCAGGAAATGTTCCATGTATTCATAATGATATTACCTTTTAATTCACCAGTCATGCAACCACTTAGTGGCAGACTATGGATAAAAAAAATCAGCTGCAAATTTTCTGTTCCTGAGAAATGAAAGTGAAACTGACTATCTATTAGTAAAAGGAATCTCTGGGCATCATAACAATATCACTTAAATGAAACTTTGATAATTTCCTTGTCCTTGGTTGTTTTACACTTTTCAGATGCTACCTATTGTTTTAAATAGGCAAGATATCAAACTGAAAAATGGAAGTGTCCTTATACAAATTATAACAACTAGACATCTGCATTAGTTAGTCAGAAAATTCTGTTTTATTCGTATTCGTTTACTAAAATGTAACGAATTAAAATAAATTAAACGAAAGAATGCATTACCTTTTTGTTTTGTTTTGTTCATTTAATAGACTCCGTGCTGCAGGGGAATTAACCCCCACAGCATGGAGAAATAACAGTGCGCATGCGCAAAAAAAAACAACAAGGAGAGAGCCGGCAGCGCTACCAGCTCCCTCCTTGTAATAAATAAGCATTTCTACCCCTCCCTCCATTTTTATCAATATGGGGGTCATAGTGACCCCATACTGAGTTATATTTAGTTTTATGACAGTGAGCAGCCAGTGCTGTTATTTAAATAAATGGATCCTATATAGAAGTGTTAGAGCTACGGTAAGAGTATGTGTGAAAAGTAGCTATTTAGATCTAAATAGCTATTTTTTCATATTGCAACATTGTTATAGTTTTTGCTATAACATTTGTTACATGACTCTTACCGTAGCTCTATATCACTTCTATATAAACTACTGATTTCTGTGACAAGAGCAATCTCACCACATTGCATTGGAGAAGCCTGGTTGCCCGCCTGCTGCCTTTAGACTATGGCCCCATGTTGAAATGCTTGATTTTCCCCTGCAAAGACATGAAAGCCGGGTCATTTGGTGCTTGCCCTATTTGAGCGGTGATACCCCAGATAGCTATGCCATGGAGCCCATTTGTATAATGAAAGACTATGGGAAAGACTTTGGCTCCATGGCAATTGAACTATATGTGTGTGCTCTGAGCGCCATTCAGTAATAATGTGCGCTCAGATCTGAGCTATCTGGGGATATGTTGAATGTACCTGTTTTGTGCAATGGCTGCACAGTTATATGTTTCTATGTGTTTTATTGTCTTTTGCTGCCATGCGTTCAATGGAGTTTTGCCTCTGTCCTTGGAGATAATTGGATTACTTCACAATTATCTCCAGGATAGAAGACTCTGTGGAACTGGTTTTGGGCAGAAAAGCCATGCTTCCTTTGGTCACAAAGGACTACGATCTATCTTTTGAACCACTGGACCAATTTGTATGATTTTGACGTATGTTTGTATTTGGAGTATGCTGATTCTGAAAATGTATGTGAATGTGATGCATACTTTTCAAGTTATGAATAATGTGGAAAAAATGTATTTCTCTGCTTGTTATAATTAAATTACCCATTGTGTAAGGTAATTGAATCACAGGCAGAGGGGAGGATTTTGTGTGGGAATGTCTGAGTGTATTGTATGTGTTTATTGGTTGTGTTCCAAAACCCTGTGGGTGGTACTAATGTGTAAGAATGTGTACATAAGCACAATAAACCCACAGCTCTGTCTGTTCACTGCTTGACCCTCAACACGGAGCTTTGTCTCGTTCTTGGGGGGATTTATTGTATGCTGTTACAGTTTGACTGCTAGGAGTGTAAACCTATTCATATGGTTTTTCCTATTTGGCTGTTTACAGCATTCATATGGTTTCCTGTTCGGCGGATTGGTGTTCTGCAGTAGCTATGCCTGTGTCAATGGAAGGGAAGATCTACTAAATGGCGGTTTAACCCTTTTATGCTGAGGGTGCCGTAACAATTTCTATATCCAGTTTTAAATGACAGCGAGCAGCCACTGACTGCTTGCTGTTTAGGCGACATGCCCCATTACACGGAGGGACCTGGCACAGGTAGTGGCATGCGGCAGGATTTAACCTGTGCCAGGTCCCCCCTTATTGCACTAGTGACTGGGCAGCAATAGCTGCCCAGTCACTAGTACTGTTAAATTTGTTTAGGTGACATGCCACCACTCACGGCATGCCGAAGAGTTGTAGACACGCAGGCCCCACCACATACATATATGCAGATGTTACACAAATATACAGCTTGTATGGATCCATTTGCGTTATCAGGTGTTGTCAGGGCCGTCTTTAACGCGGGGCAAACGGGGCAGCTGCCCCGGGCCCAGTTTCTCTTGGGGGGCCCGAGGCACCTGCCCCGTGGGCCCCGCTGACCCTGGCGGGCGGGCGGTCGGGCAGGAAGGCGGGCGCGTGAGGGAGCACTCAGTGCTTCCTCTTCAGCTCCCTCGCGCACCGCACTGATGCCGGAGCCGGAAGATTCCGGCGCCGGCATCCTCACGCCGCTGAGGGAGCTGAAGAGGTCGAGTGCCTCTTCTGCCCCCCGACCGCCACCCACCCAGGAGCCCAGCAGCACCACTACCCTGAATCCCCCCAGCACTCCAAAAGGTAAGGAGGCTGGGGGGATTACATTTAAAAAAAAAATGTGTGTTTGTGTGTATGTGTGTGTTAGTGTGTGTGTTTGTTTGTGTGTGTATGTGTGTGTTAGTGTTGTGTGTGTTAGTGTATGTGTGTGTTAGTGTATGTATGTGTGTGTTTGTGTGTGTTGGTGTATGTGTGTTAGTGTATGTGTTTGTGTGTTAGTGTATGTGTGTGTTAGTGTATGTATGTGTGTTTATGTGTGTTAGTGTGTGTGTGTGTTTGTGTATGTGTGTT